TGAGGCTTTGTGTGTTAACATTTAAAGAGATATTAATGTATAGTATTATAGTCTAGCATTATAATATGCATATATATACACATATGTATATACATGCACAAATGAAGTATATATAGTATATAGTTATGATGGATAACTGGTAAATATTATATATAACTTGTAATGTTGTATATAGCTGTTATATATAAATGGCATTATGGTAAACAGCTTAATGTAATATGCCATTATAGTATACTAAATTTGTATAGTTTTAGTCTCCAATGTATAGTGGGTTTCAATTCTATGTCAGCCTGCAGAATTATTCAAATACCTCATTCTCATCCTCCCATGGGAACAAAGGATAATCTTACCCTCTTGATGCTACAGTGTGCCATTCAGAAATATTCATGATCGTGGATTTAGGAAAGATTCTATGATGTGACAATACAAGCACTAGGAACAAAGAAAAAATATGTAATTTAGACTGCATTGAAATTTTAAACTTGTGTTTCAAAGGACACCATACCAGCAAGACATTGAAAAGCATATGGCCATACCAGCCTGAATGCACCTAATCTTTTTTGATCTCAGTTCCTACCAGGATTGGGTCTGGTTATTACTTGTATGAGAGTAATACTGGGAATACCGTGTGCTGTACACTTTAAAAAAAGAAAAGGGGCCAAGTGCATTTGCTTATACCTGTAATCCCAGCACTTTGGGAGGCTGAGGCAGGTGGATTGCTTGAGCTCAGCAATCTAAGTTCAAGACCGGCCTCAAGAACATGGTAAAACCCTGTCTCTACCAAAAATACAAACAATTACCTGGGGGTGGTGGTACGCACCTTTGGTCCCAGCTACTTATGAGGCTGAGGTAGGAGGATCGTTTGAGCCTGGAAGGTGGAAGTTGCAGTGAGCTGTGATGATGCCACTACACTCCACCCTGGGTGACAGAGTGAGACTGTCTCAAAACAAGGAAGAGAAACTTTTTCTTTTTTTTTTTTGAGACGCAGTTTTGCTCTTGTTGCCCAGGCTGGAGTGCAATGGTGCAATCTTGGCTCACCGCAACCTCTACTTCCCGTGTTCAAGTGATTCTCCTGCCTCAGCCTCCCGAGTAGCTGGGATTACAGACATGCGCCACCACGCCCAGCTAATTTTTGTATTTTTAAGTAGATACTAAAAATACAAAATTATACTGTGTTGGTCAGGCTGGTCTCGAACTCCCAACCTCAGGTGATCTGCCCGCCCAGGCCTCCCAAAGTGCTGGGATTACAGGGGTGAGCCACCGTGCCCAGTCAAGGAAGAGAAACTTGATGAATTATCATGGGTTGAGGAAATGGAATTTGATTGAGTATCAAGTTTTGGGGGGATTCTCCCTGAACTCCCTTGGAAGGATTTTTGATGTAACTGGGCCCTGCATGAGAAGGACAAAATGGGTCAAGAAGAGGGCCTGAGCAGCCTGACTCACCTTTGGTCAAGGAAGGAAGGAGTCCGTAAGACTCCCACAGCTGACTCTTTTTAGGAATGACAATCCCTAAATATATGGTTCCGTCATTATATTGCAAAATACCTGCTTTCCCTCCCTAAAGGACGTCTTCAATTATGGATCCACCCTGACATATTTGAAAGAGCTGCAGGATTTTAATCGTTTTTTATTTTCCCACAGAGCCATATATGACTGTATTTAAAATTGTATTATGTTGGCCGGGTACGTTGGCTCACGTCTGTAATCCCAGCACTTTGGGAGGCCGAGGTGGGTAGATGACGAGGTCAGGAGATCGAGACCATCCTGGCTCACACGGCAAAACCCCATCACTACTAAAATACAAAAAAAAAAATTAGCCGGGCGTGGTGACGGGCACCTGTAGTCCCAGGTACTCAGGAGGCTGAGGCAGGAGAATGGGCGTGAACCTGGGAGGCAGAGCTTGCAGTGAGCTGAGATCATGCCATTGCACTCCAGCGTGGGCAACAAGAGCAAAACTCCATCTCAATAAAACAAAACAAAAAAATCCACAAAAATTAACCGGGTATGGTGGTGGGCACCTATAATCCCAGCTACTCAGAAGGCTGAGGCAGGACAATTGCTTGAACCCAGGAGGCTGAGGTTGCAGTGAGCCAAGATTGCGCCATTGCACTCCAGCCTGGGTGACAGAGCAAGACTCTGACTAAAAAAAAATAAGTACACCTAATAATTCCTGATGTTAAGCACCTTTTCATGTGTGTTGTGGTCATTTGGATGTATCTTGGAGAAATGTTATTGGAATACATTGGCTATCTTTTTTTTTTTTTTTTTTTTTTTTTTGAGACAAAGTCTCGCTCTCTTGACCCATCTGGAGTGCAATGGCATGATCTTGGCTCACTGCAACCTCCGCCTCCCAAGGGGCTGGGATTACAGGTGTCTACCACCACCTGCAGCTACTTTTTGTGTTTTTAGCGTAGTCGGGGTTTTAGCATGTTGCCAGACTGGTCTCGAACTACTGACCTCCAGTGATCTGCCCGCTTTGCCCTCCCAAAGAGCTGGGATTACAGCTGTGAGCCACTGCACCTAGCCCATTGCCCATGTTTTGGTCAAGTAGTTTTACACTTAGGACAGTATTTTTTTAGACGGAGTCTCGTTCTGTCACCAGGCTAGAGTGCAGTGACCCGATCTCGGCTCACTGCAACCTCCGCCTCCCAGGTTCAAGCAATTCTTTTGCCTCAGCCTCCTGAGTAGCTGGGACTACAGGTGTGCGCCACCATGCCCAGCTAATTTTTGTATTTTTAATAGAGACAGGGTTTCACTGTGTTAGCCAGGATGGTCTCGATCTCCTGACCTCGTGAGCCACCTGCCTTGACCTCCCAAAGTGAATTTATTATTTTTAATTACTATAAAGTAAAATTACATTTTACTAGCTTAAGCAATTTTAAGTGTACAGTTAATTAGACAACTCTGTATAACTTATCTATGATGAATCATACTCTGTTGTGTGTGTGTGTGTGTGTGAGACTGCCATTGTGTAATTTCCATAGCGTCGTGAATTTTCATGCATAAAGCATGGGACAGGGTGTTATTTTCTTTTTTTTTTTTTTTTTTGAGACGGAGTCTCACTCTGTCGCCCAGGCTGGAGTGCGGTGGCGCGATCTCGGCTCACTGCAAGCTCCGCCTCCCGGGTTTACGCCATTCTCCTGCCTCAGCCTCCCGAGTAGCTGGGACTACAGGCGCCCACAATCGCGCCCGGCTAATTTTTTGTATTTTTTTTTAGTAGAGACGGGGTTTCACCGTGGTCTCGATCTCCCGACCTTGTGATCCGCCCGCCTCGGCCTCCCAAAGTGCTGGGATTACAGGCGTGAGCCACCGCGCCCGGCCTAGGGTGTTATTTTCTAAGATTAAATAATATTTCATTGTATTTAGATGCCTACCACATTTTTGTATGCATACAACCATCAGTGGACATGTGGATGGATCCAGCTCTTGGCCATTGTCAACAGTGGTTTTCAAATATGTCTCCATGACCTGGTTTTCTTTTTTTTTTTTTTTTTTTTTATTCGGTATAAATAGACCTACAAGTCAGCCACTGGAAGATATGGTAATTTTGTTTGTTTTTGAGACTGAGTCTTACTCTGTCACCCAGGCTGCACCGGAGTGCAGTGGCGCAATCTTGGCTCACTACAGCCTCTGCCTGTCAGATTCCAGCGATTCTCCTGCCTCAGCCTCCCAAGTAGCTGGGATTACAGGTGTGCGCCACGACACCCGGCTAATTTTTGTATTTTTAGTAGAGACGGGGTTTTGCCATTTTTGCCAGGCTGGTCCCAAACCCCTGACCTCAGGTGATCTGCCCTGCTCTGCCTCCCAAAGTGCTGGGATGATAGGCATGAGCCACCTTTCCTGGCCGTAATTTTGTTATTTTTAGAGGCACTATCATACTATTTTCCAGAAAGGCTGAACCATTAATAATCCTTGAGACAGAGCACATGTTTGCCTTCTCCCTCTGTGAATGGTGGCCTCTCATAAGCAAAAGTTTGTTTTGTTTTGTTTTTGTTTTTGTTTTCAGACAGTGTCTCGCTCTGTCTCCATGCTAGAGTACATAGAGTGGCACGATCTCAGCTCACTGAACCTCCACCTCCTGGGTTCAAGTGATTCTTCGTGCCTCAGTCTCCCAAGTAGCTGGCATTAGAGGTATGTTCTACCACACCCAGCTAATTTTCTTATTTTTAGTAGAGACGGGTTTCACCATGTTGCCCAGGCTGGTCTCAAACTTCTGGTTTCAAGTGATTTGCCCACCTCAGCCTCCAATAGTGCTGGGATTACAGGCATGAGCCACCACACCTGTTCACACAAACGTTTTTATGTTTGATAAATATTTGCCTTTTTGTTACGATTGGGCACCCTGGGGTTTTACTTCTCAACCTTGTTGACATTCAGCTATGAGCAATTTGGTTACAATTTAGGCTTTACTACCCAAGCAGAGATCCCCAGAATCGCTTCTTCTCGTGCGTTCGGTTTTTCGTTTTTGTTTTTGTTTTCGTTTTTTTAGCTATTTATAACTGTCTTATTAGTTAGATTGATGGACCCCTCACAAAATCCAGTTGTTTGTTTCTGTCATTGGTATTTAGAACAAAATCTACTTCCTAGATATCATCAAATTTTAAACTTGGGAACAGACATTTTCAAGGATACACAGCCTCAAGACTCCTTATGTTAACTTTTTTCTGCATGTGAATTCACAGGACTTGGTTACAGCAGGCACTACAGACTCACACTACAAACAGACATTAGGGGCAGCCCAGACAGCACACCTTTTTATGTGGATTCACCGGAAACTCACACATTTTCCTATTCTGCTGTTGCTTTACCCCATGGTTAAATTGTAGCATCAGAATTGCTTTATGGAAGAAAGTGAGTATAGGCAGAGAGTAAGAGGTCTGATGTCCAAGTAATGAAATCTTCGGAGTCCATAGCATTGTGAGAACTTCTTAGGAATAGGGTATAGATGTCCAGTGTTATCAGTCTCACCCATCCTTCTCTACATATGTGGGATGTTTCAGGACTCAATGACCTTTGAGGATGTGGCTGTGAACTTCACTCCAGAAGAGTGGGCTTTGCTGGATCCTTCCCAAAAGAATCTCTACCAAGAAGTGATGCAAGAAACCTTAAGGAACCTGGCCTCTATAGGTAAGGGTGACAACCTTACTCATTCAGTGAATTAGAGAAGTGTTTCTCATTCATCAGTTCTGTTGAGTAATTTGGAATATGGACAGGCAATACTTTGATGAATAAATGAGGAATGGTTGCAGTGTATCATAAACATAGAATCAAATAATTATTTCATACTTTTATACTAATTCAGGCCTGTGTATCTGTGTCTGTATTTTAGGGAAGAAATGGAAAGACCAGAACGTTGAAAATGAGTACAAAAATCCCAGGAGCAACCAAAGGTAATCTGCACTCACAAGACAAAGCACTGTCTCTAGAAAATTTTAGAATGGGAGGAAATGTTAAAAAGAAGGAAACAAACAAAAAAGCTGAGTTCCATTGTATTTATTCTTAGAATATTTTCTCTAAAAACATGCATTTATTTGTGACATAGGCATAAGCCATGGTGTCCAAGCCTATAATCAGCCCTTTGGGAGGGGGAGGTTCAGACCAGAGTATTGCATGAGCCCAGGAGTCAGGCTACACTGAGCCATGATGACATCATTGGACTGTAGCCTGGGCAACAGGGCAAGATTCTCACTCAGAAACAAAATTAAAAGACAAAGAGGTTTTGTATTTGTACAGTAGTTTACATGGAAATAGTATTAAGCCCCATATCAATATTTTTTGATAATAGATATGGCTGGGCCATCTTGTAGACCATGTGGTCCATTCATGTTCAAACAATTCAGACAGAGTAGAAAACCTACACTTTGCTGGATCATGTTAAAAATGCAAGTGTAAAACTTGTGAATGAATATAAAGATCACTGATAAACCCATTAAGTGTGCTTTTCATTTTTCACAGAGGTCTTATGGAAGAGAGACTATTTGAAAGTGAAGGTCATCAGCGTGGAGAAATTTTGACCCAGGTTCTGGATGACATGCTGAAGAAGAAAACTGGAGTAGCATCATGTGAAAGGAATGTGTGTGAGGTCAGCATGGGTCATTTATCCCTTAATAAGCACACCAGAGCTGACACTGGACACAAGCCATATGAGTATCAGGAATATGGACAGAAGCTATATAAATGTACATACTGTAAGAAAGCCTTCAGCTACCTCCCCTACTTTCGCAGACATGTAATTGCACACACTGGAGAAAAACTCTATGAATGTAAGGATTCTGGGAAGGCATTTAGTTTTTCCATTTCTTTTCATAGACATAAAAGAGCTTACTCTGGAGGGAATCCCTATGAATGTAAACAATCTGGAAAACCCTTGGGATGCACCTCAGAACTTCAAATGCATGCAAGGACTCACAGTGTAGAGAAACCTTACAAATGTAAGAAATGTGAAAAAGCATTTAATAACGCATCTTCCTTTCAAATACATGAAAGAATGCACAGAGGAGGGAAGCATCATGCATGTAAGGGTTCTGGGAAGACATACCGTTTTTTTGGTTTCTATCACAGACATAGAATGCTTCACGCTGGCGGGAAATTTTATGGATGTAAGAAATGTGGGAAAGCCTTTATTAGTTTCTGTGCCTTTCGATACCATCAAAGGACTCACACTAAAGAGAAATCCTATGCACGTAAACAATGTGGGAAAGCCTATATTTCTTCCATTTCTTTTCGATATCATCAATTGAGTCACACTGGAGTGAAACACTACGAGTGTAAGCAGTGTGGCAAAGGCTTCAGTTTGCCCAATTCCATTCGGTGTCATGAAATGACTGACACTGGAGAGAAACCCTATAAATGTAAGCAATGTGGGAAAGCTTTCAGATGTGCCTCAAGCCTCCAGATACATGGAAGGACTCACACTGGGGAGAAACCCTATGAATGTAAACAGTGTGGTAAAGTCTATCGTTATTGGAGTGGCCTTCGAGTACATGAACTAACTCACATTGGAAAAAAGCCTTATGAATGTAAGGAATGTGGGAAATCATTCTATAGTTCCGGTTTCCTTCTAAATCATAAAAGGATCCACACTAGGGAGAAACCTTATGAATGCAAGGAATGTGGGAAAGCATTTGGTAATCCCATATCCTTTCAAAAACATGAAGGGAGTCACAGAAAAGAGAAGCCTTATGAATGTAAGGAATGTGGGAAGGTATTCAGTTTTTCTAGTTCCCATCAGAGACATGAAAGGACACACACTGAAAAACCCTATGAATGTAAACAACGTGGGAAAGGATCTTTTCGTAGAAGCTGTCCTAGGCACATGAAGATACACACTGGAGAGATACTTCATAAACGGAAGATTCGTGGAAAAGTCTTTCATTCTCCCAGTTCATTTCAAACACGTGAAAGATCCCACACTAGAGAAAAATGCTATAAATGCAAGCAATGTGGAAAACCCTTCATTTATTTCAATGCCTTTCAACATCATCAAAGGAGCCACACTGGAGAGAACCCCTATGAGTGTAAGCAATGTGGGAAAGCCTATATTTCTTCCACTGCTTTTCAGTGTCATGAATTGAGTCACACTGGAGCAAAATGCTATAAGTGTAAGCAGTGTGGCAAAGGCTTCACTGGCAGCTGGCCTGTAACCCCAGTTACTTGGGAGGCCTGAGGCAGGAGAATTGCTGAACCCGGGAGGCAGAGGTTGCAGTGAGCTGAAATCATGCCACTGCACTCCAGCCTGGCAACAGAGCAAGACTCCATCTAAAAAATGAAAAATTAAAAAAAAAAAGATTGGCTATAGATGAATTGTATCAGAACCATCTAAATATCTAAAATACATCCAGATTAATTGTCCATTCACCGGTAGCCTTCCTTCTCAACTCAGAAATAAATTATCTCACAGGTCTTCCCTACTCTTTTCTTTGTTCCAAGGAATGGGATAATTGAATGCATATTAACAGAATGTATCTCATGTCGCTGACACGAACTGGAACAAATGAAAGCTTTGCCACATTGCTTGCATTCACATGGTTTTCTGGTGTCTGTCCTTCCACGATTTTGAAGGTTCTTGGCAGATGTGAAGCCTTCCACAATTCTTACA